CCAGCCCTTCACACGTGATCTTTCCACGGGGAATAACAAAACCTTGGGTTGACACACATAGCCTCGTGTCACTGACAGCCATTGTAGACGGTGTCGCGCAGGAGAACTAGTCAGGTGACTTGGGTTGGCACACACAGTCTCTATTCACTGACAGTCCACAGGATGGTGTCGTGGTGAAGGACTCTGTGTAGCGTCCCGTTCCCTTAACGAGGACGTCTTAACTAACTCTTGGCCTTGGGCCTACTGGCTAAAAATGTGGTTTTGGGGCGTGAGATACAATGAACAGCGCAACAGTCTTACCCCCCCCCCCCCAATAGACTGGCTTACATACTCACTAATGGAATAGTGATGACAGAGTTACAGCTCGCCTGGTAAAACTAACATTGGAGTAGGGTTGCGTGAGTAGGCCCAACGCAACCCATGGCAGTATTATATTAGCGAACACTCGTATTTTAACAAGACTTTTCCTGTGTCTAGTTGTTATACACTACTGATGAAAGCAAATAAAACAAAGGGAATAGTCATGAATGACTCCTGCTGAGTGACGTCACAACTGAGATCACTAATGACGCCATGAGTCACAGATCGAGACACAAATGACGCCATGAATGACGTCACGGCTGAGACACCGAATGAATGAGGTGAAGGAAGGAGTCACTGTAGCGAGTCACCGTATATAGCGACCACTGTAGATTGTGTGAGTGACCTTGTTCATCACTATTGTTATAGCTGGGTGGACCCCTCTCACGAGGTATTGTGGTGGTAGTACCAGGCAAGGTTCCGTGTCCGTCACCTCCCACACACTACAGCTGATTTACTTCAAACTTGTTACGTGTTCGCTCATTATGGCTGCCGTGTTGACAAGTGTGTGTGTCTTAAGGGGGCGTTTTAAGATGTCTACGTAATAGCTTTGACTAATTAGTATGACATTAAGGAGGTTGTCTTTGTTTTAACTCTGGATAATGAATGCTGCAAGGATGGGTCTTCGTGTGTGGTAGTAGCAGCAGTACTAGGGTGCGTGGGCAGGGTGGTAGGGAGCGACCAACAGCGCTACATAATCCTGGGTGTTGTGGACGATCCTGGTTATATCGTCGCCGCCCACACCACGCCCGTCCTCCCTTCCTCCATACACTCCTACACCTTACTCACACTCACCCTTCATCAGTCTCTAACCCACACTCACTCGTTCACACTCCCTCACTCACCCTCACTCCTCCGGACACACTAGTGCTCGTCACAGGGCCGTGTTGACGTGTACCTGCGGCAATGGTAAAAATCCTGCTACAAGACCAGAGAAGACATTGTTGACGACCTGAGGAACTGGGGTGGAGCGGGAGGGTCGGTTGCTTTTTGACGACCTGCAGAACTGGGATAAGGTGTTGGGGCTGTCCATAATTGATGTCCTGCCTGATGGAAGGAGAGGGTAGAGGATGGAGCAGAAGAGCTGGTAAGTAGGGTTTGGTTAGGGGTTGTTAGAGCCTCGGTTATAGCCTATAAATGGCACATTCACTCTCTCTCTCTCTCTCTCTCTCTCTCTCTCTCTCTCTCTCTCTCTCTCTCTCTCTCTCTCTCTCTCTCTCTCTCTCTCTCTCTCTCTCTCTCTCTCTCTCTCTCTCTCTCTCTCTCTCTCTCTCTCTCTCTCTCTCTCTCTCTCTCTCTCTCTCTCTCTCTCTCTCTCTCTCTCTCTCTCTCTCTCTCTCTCTCTCTCTCTCTCTCTCTCTCTCTCTCTCTCTCTCTCTCTCTCTCTCTCTCTCTCTCTCTCTCTCTCTCTCTCTCTCTCTCTCTCTCTCTCTCTCTCTCTCTCTCTCTCTCTCTCTCTCTCTCTCTCTCTCTCTCTCTCTCTCTCTCTCTCTCTCTCTCTCTCTCTCTCTCTCTCTCTCTCTCTCTCTCTCTCTCTCTCTCTCTCTCTCTCTCTCTCTCTCTCTCTCTCTCTCTCTCTCTCTCTCTCTCTCTCTCTCTCTCTCTCTCTCTCTCTCTCTCTCTCTCTCTCTCTCTCTCTCTCTCTCTCTCTCTCTCTCTCTCTCTCTCTCTCTCTCTCTCTCTCTCTCTCTCTCTCTCTCTCTCTCTCTCTCTCTCTCTCTCTCTCTCTCTCTCTCTCTCTCTCTCAATATACTGTGGACTCAGGAACATAATAAACTGGAAGAAAGTTTACCAAAAGGGAATGTTTTAACTTTTTACTCTGAAGAATGAAAAGGAAAATTAATTAAACATTATACTTTATATCGATACATTTTTTTAATAATAATATATTAACTTGGATTATAATTTATTACTAGTTAAAGTCTCCGTCAAGTGTTGAGTTAGGTGTGTGTGTGTGCGCGTGCGCGTGTGCGTGCGTGCATGCATGCATGAATGCATGCGTGTGTGTGTGTGTGTGCGTGCGTGTGTGCATGCATGTGTTGGAAATATAAACACTGAAGTTCAAAGTATTTGCTTCAATAAAGAAGAACTTACAGCAGAAAACCAATAAATAGTGTACAGTAAATATATAATACAGTATCAGTTATACTGTAACTCTACAGTAACGTGGGTCTAAATCTTCTATCAATGATGTAAGTTTCAATAAGTTATTGTAAGATACAGTATACCAGGGGTGACTTAACCTAAGAGCCACATACGATAATCTTCAGATATTCGAGAACCGCAAGACATGAAGGAAATATGCACACCTTTTTATGTTACACATTTTATTTAAAAAAATTACCTTGAAATACATGTACGCAGTAATATTTACTAATGTATGTAGTTTTTAAATTGTTAAATTTTATGTTTCAATAATCAGGAGTACAAATACTGTATATACAAAATGTTATCAAAATTTTGAGTGATGTTTGTTTTAACGGTGTTGAGCATGTTTAATACGTAATGAACTCCGGGCACATCTCAGAAAAAATATGCAAGTCTGCATTTCAGTAACATTAAATAGGATTGTTGAAAAAATAATAATTATGTATATTTGTCTTAGTTAACATTTGGTCTAAACTTGGAGGAAAATATATAAAAGAAGAACAAGCAAACCAATAAAATTAGAGATATGTTAATCACAGACTGTAGTGGATCTCTCCCGAGCTGTTCGGAGGTCACCAGCTGCTACAGTATCCAGCAACACGGGAGGGGGCATCGCCACCTGCTACGTCTTCCCTAGTAACGGAGTCAAGAAACCGGCGAGTTCCCACGTGTTCTCTTCCGGCTGCTGTGTATATAAGCTCGCATTCTCTCCAGTGAGATTCAGGGGCGCTTGTGGTAGAAGCGGTACCGCTCTTGCCTCGCAAGCAAGATGTCACGGGTTCGATTCCCGGGCAAGCGGAAGTTGTTTGGACACTCTTCCTAGCCCCCTTGGTCCCTGTTCACCTAGCAGTAAAGTAGGTACCTGTTGTAAATCAAAAGGTTGCGAATTCGTATTCAGGGAAAGTTGTTGGAGCTTCAAAACTTGAACTGATACAATCCGGAGGAGTGGTGACCCGAGGATCACACACCCAACACAGACAAAACCCAATACGTGCACTATGCGCTAACCAAATAAACGCAGTCGTGTAAAGCCACGGCACTATCTCTCCCACTACAATTCCCTTCCTAACCTCCTGCTCCTTCCTCTGTCATCTTCCCCGCTCTGACTTTCGCTACCAACAACTTTTGGAGCTTCAAAACTTGAACTGAACAGTGAGATTCATTCTACTCTATGTTCCTGAACACGCAACACCTCCTTCAAGCAAGCTCCTCGTTGTCCAGCCCTCATTCAACCTGGGGGACAGCAACACGCAACATCTCCTCTAACTAAGCTCCTGCACAGATACCTCCTCAAGCACGCTAATCACTGTACGTGTCTTCTGAGCAAGCCTCTCACCACACGGCATCTCCAGCACCAGACTCTCTTTCATATAATATATTTTATATAAAAAAACCACCATCTAGAGTTTCTATCCCTCCATCCTGAGTGCGAGGCAACATAATATCATGTAACCCTACAATACCACCTCACAAAGCTTGGTTTTCCGTAATTTTTATTTAGGTGGATAATCACACGAAAAGTTTTTGTGATTTGTGTCGTAGTGGTGTTTCAAGTTACTGGCTTTGTAGTGAGTGAGTGATACATTGCATATAAGGCACAAAGGTTTAACTCCTTTATGGTAAATGTAAAATCATCATCCCACTCTGGCTTAAAATTTCTGTTTTCATCTTCATACTTCCGCAACTTACAATTAGATGATACCATCTCCCTAAACAGAATTTTCACAGACACTGCTATGAAATAAATTTAACAGTATTTAAAGGCTGCTTATTTTTATGAACTGTAAACACAACTTTTGTCCGGAGCGTACCAGATAGATATGGACAGTTCCTCGTCTTGTTAATGTGTCAGGTCATGACGTGAGGCTGGGTCCCCTGCCCTGCCCTGCCCCTCCCTCCGACTTTCCTCCGCAATCCCTGACCTGAAATTTACTGACCTGACTCAGCACTGATGAACGACACCTGACTATATTCTAGCAATGAAATTAAGATTTAAATTCTTAAATATTTATACTCACCTTGAATATTTAACTTATGTTTTAATCCAGTAGCCTCTCACTTTATACATACAAAGCTCGAAATTTTTTTTTAATTACCTGTACCTTTTATATTGATCATGGTGCAAAAAGGAGTTCAACCAAGATATTTTCACGAGCCACACTTTAGTCTCAAAGAGCCGCGTTTTGGCCACCCCTGCAGTATACTCTACTGTATTTTAACTGTAAAGTACTTCATTTGTGTTTACGAGATGTTTTAACTGCTTAATAAGTTAGGTTAATATATTTTCCCGTATTTTTAGCTATATAAATTACTCTTAAAAGGTTCCACAATGTTTTAACTACCCGGTATATAAATTACTGTAAGTTATTCTGCAATATATTTTAACTATAACTTACTCTTAGGTTATTCCACAATGTATGTAGTTATCTTGTAAAAATCATGATGTACAATACTGTATACAGTACAGTATATATATGGTTTTGTTCCAACAGGCTGATGCGTCGGTGGAGATGGAACAGCGTCACTTTGTTCACGCCTCACTTGATTATGTGTTCCTGCTGCAAGAAGTTCAAGAGAGAAAGAAGTTTGAATTTGTGGAGACGGTAAGTGTGTGTGTGTGAGTGAGAGAATTATAATACTGTACATAGCATGGTATATAACTCACTTATTGCTAATTGACCCTTTTTCTATATTGTGATGAACAGAACTGTTGTGGGTAATTATTGACGACTGACCCGCTGCCGATTTCTCATAGAGAACAAATTTAAAAATGCTGCAATTTCATTGCGTTTTATAGTGGGCACTGTTGTATTTTTTTTTGCAAATGTGTTAAAAAGTGGTTATTTCTAAATTAAACATAACCTAACCTAACCTTAGTTGATTGCAAAAAAAAGTGGCAGAAGCATTGTTAGAAAGTCCTCGCCATCCTAACCAAAGAAACCTACCTAACCTTACATAACTTCCTCACCGTGAGACTCGACTACCCGGTCCCCCAGGCATATTAAACAGAAAGAACTTTATATTATATGGTGCAATTTTATGTTTTTTGTGGATGTGAGAGCAGCCGCCCAGTCCATGTGGCTCATAACATACACTGGCATTGATTGGATATGATTGCCTGCGTAGTCACATCACCACCGAGAAAGGCAAAGTAGTTGTGTGCCAGACAAGGTAGTGCTCTTTTAGTCACCTAATTATCTACCAAAGGAAGCAATTTAAAAAAAATGACTATTATATCAGAACTCATTGATGAAATTATAGTAGGAATATAAACATCAAAACAAATAAATCATCGGCGGGTTAGTTGTCAATATTAGCCTTGGTGTTATATCTGATTATTTGTTATTGATAATAATAATAAAATAATTACATATATTAACTACTGTGATTGGTTACAGCTGTTGAGTTATATGTACGGGTGGCTGACCTTCTACCATCAAGGTCACGAGGTATTCAATGATTGTAACCCCTACATGCGTGACCTCCAAGTTAGAGTACAAAGGGTGAGTCTTCTTCCCAGAGTTCTGTATTATGTATCCTCAGTTGCAGAAAATTCATTACGTTTGAGTAGAAGTTCATGTTTTTGTGATGATGATGATGATGATGGTGATGATGATAAGGTATGTCTTATACTGTAGTTAGTTGAATTTCATTGTAATATTGTGAGAGTTGAACTTCAGTCATTCATTGTTATATAAACAAACACAAAATGTTAAATAGTGAGTGTTGCTATTATTGCTTTAAATAAAGTGTGTTTATCCATTTCAGTGTTGAGTTATCATACAGTAGTTCCAAATATAAAACCTTTATATTGACTACAGTGAAGGTGGAGCACACAGCTAACACCAGCAGTTGTTTGACATTCTTTATTTTTCCACATATGTTCTTTGGATGATACTGTACGGTAGTAAGTAATAAATATGATAAAACATTGCGTAGAACCTAATAAAATGTGACCTAACCTTACTTAACTTTCTAATTGGGAGGCTCCGCACCATGGATCCCCCGTCATATTAAACAGAAAGAACTTACTTTGATATCTGGTACCAATGAAAGCAACTTTCTTGAAAGTGCTGTGGTGTAATTTTTTTTGTTTTTTGTGGATGTGAGAGTACATTTGGATCGAGCTGCTCGGTTGTTGTGCTGAAACAATCAAAGAGTGGACGACAACACGTACCGACGCAGCAGATTTTCTGGCGGAATATTTACAGTAAATAATTAATTTCTTAATGTATAAAGCATGTCGAGACATAATTTTTTTAGTGTCATATGATCAATCTTTAGCTGTGTTATACCGCACAATTTTCCTTTTCCTTCATACCCTGCCCACTACAGGTGATTTATGATCTTAGATAGAGGAAACATTACTTATAATTAAAAAAATAAAATACAATCATATAATTTTTATTACTTACTATCATCCAAAGAACATCTGTGGAAAAAACATGAACGTAATTAAACAACTTCTGGTGTTAGCCATCTGCTTCGGTATTACCTTAATATGTTATTGTTGACCACCCCCTAATGACCATTTGCTGTTTTAGACGCGTGAAAACTTTGAGGCGACCCGTCAAGAATCTGTTCAGCTCAAGAACAAGATGCTGGAGGTGCGTAAGACGGTAATGTGTCTCCGCTGCTTCCCACTAACTCACGCCAGCCCTCTCCCACTCTCCACCCCACCACCCCATAGTGTTGTAGTCTCCTGTTACTGTCTGCATCGTCCCTCTCCTAATCTTTTCATTGACAAATAAAAAGAGTCTGATACAGTACATGGCTATAGTGCATTTTTTCCCAGCTGAGAAAAGATGCCCCACCCCGTCCTCAAGAGTTCAAGCTGATTGGCTGTTTCAGACCTGTCCGATTTCGTCCTGAAGTAATGATGCATTTCTAAATGAGCTTATTCATAATTGTTGGGTTGACCGTTTCTGACGATAAAGATATTTAGCTAAATTACAGTGGTCCCTCGGTTAATGAGCACAATCCGTTCCAGCAGGTTGCTCGTTAACCGAAAAACTCGTTAACCGAAACCATTGTTTTAATGGGTTTTTGGGTAATTGGTTCCAGCTCACCGAAAATTGCCTAAATTCAACAAAAAAGGTAGAAAAGTACACTTACTTTGAGGTGTGTATGTAGAAGGCTCCTGGATGATGATGATGATGATGATGACGATGGGAATTAGAATGGGGGTTGAGGAGAAGGAAGAAGAGAAGGCATTGGGGTGGAAGAGAAGTCACCCCATGGTGCCATTTCACCCATAAAATTTTAGCTCTCTTGGTGTAATTCAAGATTATTTTCTTTAAATCAACACTGCACTGCATTATATATTGTCAATATGTAAAATATATTTCAAAATGACCAATGATTTGCTTGGAAACACAGAAAAAAAGCGTTTAGTTGAAGAGAGTCTCAAGCAAGATGTTACCTCCAGTGAAAACAGAGAGAGACTAACGCCTGTCTGGTGTGTTAACAGGCTGGATGGCACGCCAGAAACTAGTTTCTTTACCTTCAATTATGTTCAATAATTGTTAAAATGACTAAAAAAGTTAATATTAAACTTTTAAAATTATTGAATAGTATAAACTTCTTGATATTTACTAAAATAGTAAGGAATTTAAGCCCTAAAACCGATTACTGTGTTGGCGGACTTATACTACAGCTGGTGGACCGCCAAATGCAAGCGAAAACATGTTGAAGTCGGCTCGTAAAAAACTCGTTAATCGAGGGATTGCTCGTTAACCGAAGTTAAGAATCTTATGGAAGGTAAATCTTGTTAACTGAGGCGCTCGTTAACCGAGGGACCACTGTATATAAAGATACATGCATTCATTATTTCAAACATAAGTATGTTGGAAGTTTATCAGAATTATTATACAGTGGTCCCTCGGTTAACGAACACAATTTGTTCCACAGAGTTGTTTGTTAACCGAAAATTTCGTTAACCAAATTTATTATTTCAATGGGATATTGGGTAATTGGTTCCAACTCACAGAAGAAAGTACATACAAAGTACTGTATACCAGTAATAGAATTAACAAAACATTAAATATAAACTAAATACAGTACTGTACTGTGCAGTATACTGAACAATAATACATAAAAAACATTAGAATACTGTATTTTAACTTACTTTGAGGTGTGTATGTCGTATTACCGGCAGCTTTGTGTACATATCAAACAGCTGATTGTAGAGGCAGTCGATGATGGCATGCCATATTCTTTACAGAGTGCATTGGTTCTAATGCCTTCTTCATGTTTCATAATAATTTCTGCACTGTATATTATCAATATGTTAACTAAATTTCAGAATGACCAATAATTTTAATGTAAAAATGCAAAAATATTCAAGAGACCAACAAAATCGATGTTCACTCCACTGTAAACAAAGTTAAACTGAGAAGCGCTGTTGGGTGATTCATTCAGCTGATGGACGCACAAAAACTGTTTCCTGTACTGTCTATATTATCAATATGTTAACTGAATTTCAGAATGATCAATAATTTTAATATAAAAAATGCAGAAATATTCAAGAGACCAACTTTCTTGATATTTACTTCACTGGAAACGAATGTAAACATAGAACCAATTACTGTATTGGTGGACAAGCCGGTCAGCTGATGTGCACAACAAAACGTGTTTGTCGTAAGGATTTCGTAAATCAAAGTTTTGTTCGTTAATCGAACTGAAAATCCTTATGGGAAATAATTCGTGAACCAAAATTTCGTTAATCGAACCGTTCGTAAACCGAGGGACCACTGTACATGAATTAACTGTTAAACTCTGGTAGCAAATTTACACTTTTGGAGGATGCATTTAATATATCCTTATTTTTACCCACAATAAGGCATACTGAGACAAATTACATATCAGTAATAGTACATAATGCAAAAATTAACATTTTAAAGGATCAGAATCACAATGAAATATTACACTGCCGTCAGCAGAGACGGGAAATATGACTGCAAACAGCTTCATGTTTCCCGCCTCTGCTGACGGCTGTGTAATACTGTATGTCAATGTGATTCTGATAATTTAAAATTTTTGTTTTTGCATTATGTAGTATTACTGATTGTAATTTGTGTTGATGTATACTGTACAGTAAAGTATTTTATGTTGATGTATGCTTTACAGTATACTGCTTATTATCAGGTTCGAGGTAATTATTCTCCTGTTCACACATTGTATTACAACTGGAGTCTCTCTTGTCAACCTAAGTATTACATACAGTTGTAGTGTCCACCCAGCCTGTGTGTTTAGCTCATACAACACAATCACAAAAATATTAATAATTTCTACCTCATACCAGTCTCAAACTGACAAAAAACTTGATGCTGTTTTACAAAACGATGCAGTACAGTCCTTGAGTTAATACATTACAGTACAGTACTGTATTAACATACAGTATGCAGTAAGTACTGTAGTTCATTTATTTTTGCCACATAACAAATGTTTTGAATATACTGTACAGAGAAAATAGACCTAAAATTTGCATAGATTGTAAAAAAAAATGTAAAGTAAGAGGACTACTGTACAGGATCAGAGTACAATGTAGTACAGTACAATACAATACAGTAAATCCTCATACAGGGTATTTAGTTTGTCACATGTTTACATAAGAAAAGTACTGTATGTCACAATGTTGACCTGGCAAGCTGACCTCCCATCACTGAGACCATTGAACCACACAGTAATGTAATATATAGTACAGCAGAGTAAGACAAACTTGTGACCCAAGTGCCTGTAGTGTAGTGAGGAGTTGGTGGAGTGTGGGAGAGGGTGACTGTGGGGCTTGTTGCCGTGTAGCTTGTTGTAATGTTCTTGTGTTGATTTGTATTTGTGTGTTAATGGTAATGTGCCTTCTTGTATTGATTAAGGGTTTGGTTTACCTTTTTCTCACCTTTGACAGCTAATAAACCCATTAATGTTTGCATACACTAAATTATTCATTTAGTTTTTCTTTTGAGTTGTGTCTTTAAAAACAAAACAATCTTCACAGATTTCCCAGAATTACTTAACTTCTGTTTTAGTTTGATTCATTTATAATGCTTCTTAATGAGTAGTGGAAAGAATGCATAACAAAAAATAATAATAGTTCTGCCTTATAATGCTTGTCTTTCAGGTCATGAGCATGTGTTCAATCCTAGACCCCACTGTTTCCACCAACAGCTGTGAGAATAACACTCAAGTTTCTGCCCCTTGTGAGGTGCCTGTCGTGATATGTGATGATGCCACTCTTTATAACCCTAATACAGTATTTAGAAATATATCTTTTAGCTTATTAATATGAACCTGAAGGATATGTTCACTGTTACATTTTATTTTGTTTTTCTCAAGGTATAAACTCCATGAACTACTACATATATATTCAGTTCTCGATCATTATTTTATCCTGATCATCTCTTTTCATAATTTGTTAAGTAATGATTATTGAAGAATCAGTTTATCCTGGTAACATTAAGGTTATATCCATCACGTGTTCACCCAATAGTTTCACAACTACTAATACATACGGGTCATTCTATACACAAAACAGTTCATACATGACCTAACTCACCCAAGCCAAACCAGACCAGACCTAATCTGACCTACAGTACAGTCTTTGATATGCCATAGTTTCCATACCCAGTTGGTCAATATTCCGTGCACATGAACATCCTCCGAATGTGTACATAATAGCTGTAAATTGTATAATAAAAACATCCCGTGTTTGAAAGGATTGTGTATGTAATGGCCGCTACATCCCCTAGTACTGTACCAGCACCTGTATCATCCTATCATCTCACCATTGCATATACAGAATTTCATAGAGTCTAGGATGATTCACTTGCCAGTGACCTATTGGTATTACCGAAGATCTGTTATTTGTGATATGTTGGTTTTTATTTATTTATTTAATATTTTTTTCATTTAAGTTTGTAATTTTACCTTATATTCTTAAATGTTATTCTCTCCTCTTCTCTTCTCTTCTCTCCTATAAATAACAGCAATACGTATTAGCTAACTCCTCCCTACCAGCAAGTGTATCACCCCAGTACGTACATCATCTTAAGGTGGTTGCTTATAGTTAGTGTCTGGATTATTGGTGTCATTGTTTGCATGCTTGACCATATAACTAACTGGGTCCTGGTGGGATAACGGTCATGTGATGTTGAACTAATAATGTTAATGTTGGTTTTATCATTGTGTTTGACTGTTGCTGTTTTTTTCTCTCATTACAGGGGTATGGTTGTTTGAGTGTGTGTGGATGTGTACCAGGGGTATGTGCATGTGTGTTGGTGTGTATGTGCATGCATACCCTGTAAAGGTATGTACAGTATGTGCATTTTTGGGTACAGTATATATGTGCATGTGTGAATGTATGTAGGTGTGTATGTACATGTGTGTTGGTGTGTATATGTAAAGGTACAGTATACTGTATATGTGAATGTGCATGTATGTGAGTGTGTATGTGCATGTGTACAAGTTCAGGTGAATGTAAGTGTGAAAATGTTCTTCACAAATTAAATATAGTACAGTATGAGTATATTACCAAAAAGGTGTGCGTGCGTGTAGGTAAGCAGGGGAGTAGATAGCCTCTTGAATGTACATATCATATGTACACCAACACAGGGACCTACATTTGTGTACTATTATCTTCAAAGCATTTGTATTGTTAATATTTCTTGGCAGATCATTAATATAAAGTAAAAAGTCACACTGGAGTGATTTAGCAGACTCTTATAAAATTTTAATACCTTGTTCTAAACTATATTCACATTATGTAGAACCTAAGCCGTATGATTATTTAAAATATATGCAGTACTAAATGATGATTTTCTTGATTTTAATTATTTTTTTTTTAAATTTGTTATAATTTGTGTGATCATGTTTGCTTTTTTATGGCAAGTGGTATAATACACTTGTTTGTGTGTTGTGTGGTGTGTTGCCTCAACTTGTCTTCGTATATATCTCACTGCCTGTTTGTTCTTGCATTTGTTTCTTTTTTATATATAGCTTAAGTATTTCAAGTACTGTACAGGTATTGTAACCAGTTATACAGCTCCTTCCCGACTTACGACCTACTCGACTTACGATCACCCGGACATACGACCGCCTCGGTCGTACCAAAATTTTGTCAAATTACGTATTTTCGAGTCCCAACGTCAGTGAGTGCGCTGTGTACTGACAAAATTTTCGTTTGTAATTCACTTTAAAATGGCTGGCAAACTTAAAAGTGAGAGTTTTGTGGTGTTGAGAAGAAAAAGAGACACCCATTTTAGATTTTCTATGTATTATTTAATCATTTTCGACTTACGACCATTTCGACTTACGACCTGGATTTGGGTCCCCAACCCCGTCGGGGAGGAGCTGTATATCATAGCTGGAGTACAGTATTACTATCATAGATTTTGCTACAGTTATATCACAATTATAACTTTTGTCTATAATGACCACCATAAGTAACACATCATGCATGGGTATTGGCTCAGTTGATTATTTTGTTTCTCTTATAAATATAATAAATCAATTGAAAACTTTCCTCTAGGGATAATTACAGAATTACTCAGACTATGTAAATAAGATTAAGAAATAAATAGCACTTTTAATAAGCAGTTTATATACAGTACCATTTTATCTGATGGCAAACATTGCATGATGCTGGACCAGAGGCAAGATTAATTAAATATTTTCATGTGTATAAGAAATATATATACAGTTGTACCCCAATTTATGCAGTCAATTGAATCCACAGGGTACCGCGTTAAGTGAAATCCACGTAAATGGAACAATAGAACATATGGGATTAATTCCAATAGAGACTGGCTCGACCCCCCAAACTCCACTTTTTGACGACACACAACTATGTTGTTGTAAAAATTTTATCTTAACTTTATGATGGTATGAACAAACAAGTAATATAGAAGAGGTTAGGTTAGGAAAAATAAAGGTTAAGTTAGGAAAAATAAAGGTTAGGTTGGGAAAACTAAAAGTTAGGTGTAACACTTACGTTAGTAGAAGACACACACTGCGCAACCTTACAGCGCGGCTTGCCCAGGCGGAGGGAGGCGGGAGCAGTGGGTGGCTGTTGGGGCGAATCTAAAAATAGCGTCTCGAGCCGGACACTCTGCGCGTATATGGGTAGATGAACCGCATTAAGTGAAAGTTCGGTTCTGGCGAGGCACCGCGTATATGAGAAATCGCGTTAAGTGAAACCGCGTAAAGCGGGGTACAACTGTACTAAATTATTTTTGTTTACTGTACAGTGTAATGAATTAGTTTAATAAAGTACAGTAGTTATTACAAAGACTATCTCATGTAATTCCTCCATCTATGGTACAGAAGTTAGTTTAATAGAAGATGTTGCAAGTTAGTTTAATAGAAGATGTTGCCTAACTTACCATCTCAGTATGTTTTGTGTTTCAGGTTTACTTGCAGTAATATTATGTATTTATAACTTCAACTTGTTACTCCCAGAAGTCAATGGATCCCGGCAACATGGACAAGATGTACACCAGACAGGGCTACCTCTTCCTCATGGAGAAGAGTATGTATATTTCTCACTCATAATGTATATCTCTCACTTCTCTTGAGCTACAGTGATTGAGCTATTACTTCTCTTGAGCTACAGTGATTGAGCTATTACTTCTCTTGAGCTACAGTGATTGAGCTATTACTTCTCTTGAGCTACAGTGATTGAGCTATTACTTCTCTTGAGCTACAGTGATTGAGCTATTCTCTTGGGGTACGGTGATTGAGCTATTCTCTTGGGGTACGGTGATTGAGCTCATCACCTTTGTCTCACTCATTGACACATCCTCTCCTGGACTGTTAAATTATTATATGAACACCAATAAATATAAAAATAGAAACTGAATGTAAGATGTTGTGAGATGTAGTAACTTACTGTTGATTTAAAGACCTTGGAGAATGCTGATCTGTGTCAAAGTGTTGGATGAGTATGTGTGTATGTGTCAAGTACCCGAATATTAACATTCATAGTTGTCTTGTCTTCTCCAGCATAGTACTGTAGGTATAATATTATGCTAACATGTTATGAAAGGTTTCTTCTCTCTGTCACTGAACAAAATAGATGAATAAAATTTAAATAGTAGCAGTCTTTAGAATGATATAGATGTATGTACTGTACTATAGTCCTGTCGGGAATGAATCAGTTTTAAAATGGTGGCATTTAGAACATGGTACTTTTTTTTTTTTTTTTTACGGGAATTAGCCCACCCGGGCACAGGTCAAACGACCCACAACGGAGCCTGGGGGGCGAAAAAAAAAGAATGGAAGGAAATTGAAAATATAGAAAAAAGGTTATACAGGTACAGGTAGTTCTGCTATAACGCGATAATTGTGTTCTTGTAAAATATCGTGTTATAGAAAATCGCGTAATAGAAATAACAGGGCTTATGGAGAAAATAGGGTTAGGTGCAGATTACTCGAAATCGAAAAAATTTAGTAGTTAGCCTAACACAAAGGATAGCACGGTCTAAATAAATGTTACATTCATATCTAATAATGAAATCATACAGTAAATGTAACACTTTACTTGATGGGGGAGAAGGGTGATTTTGAGGTTGATAAAATCGAGCTTCTCTTCTAGTGTTATATCCTTTCTTTTACGATCATCACCAGGAATTTTATCACCGGAACGCTTCTTGTTGATATTCTTCTTTACTATATTCACAAAATTGGAGAAATAGTAAGCAAAAATCGCGTTATAGCAAACAAGCGTTCGCGTTATACAAATATCGTTCCTAATTCATAAATCGCGTTAGAGCAAATTCGCGTTATCAAAACACGCGTTATAGCAGAAATCACTGTACTGTATTAATCTACACCACGAAGATGCCGGAAAACCAGCTTTTTAAAGTGAGACAGATTGTAAGAGCAAGGAAACACAGAAGAAGGCAGAGCATTCCACAGTTTGGCTGTGTGAGGAAAGAAGGAGGTACTATAACGGATTATTCTCGTGTGACCGACATCCACAGAGAAATGGTGGGCACCGCGGGCAAGACGTGTGTTACGAACCCACGGCCTTGCCGGCGGTACACAGGATGCCAAATCCACTGAACATTGCCCGTTAAAGTACCTGTAAAAGAGAGAGAGTGAAGCAACATTGCGGCGAAGAGAAAGGGGAGAGAGATTGTCGACTAAAGGAGGAGAGTTAATAAGACGAAATGCCTTTGATTCCACCCTATCTAATAGTTGGACAGAAGAAGAACCACCCCAGATATGAGAGTAGTACTCCAAGTTAGGACGAATGAATCCCTTATATACTTGGAGCAACTGCTCAGGAGTGAAATAGCTGCGGCATCTGTACAGCATTCCCAATTTTCGGGAGGCAGCTTTAGTTATACTAAGGATGTGTGATTTCCAGGACATATTGGAGGAAATGGTGAGGTCTAACATATTTATTTCAGAATTTGGGAGGATGATAGCGTCCTGAAATGTAATTGGTGGGAGATCGTCTAATTTACAAAGTGTAATTGGTAAATATTGAGTTTTGTTACTATTGAACTTAACCAAGTTTGTATCTCCCCATTCAGAGATGCTGCACAGATCCGCATTGATAGAAGTAATGATATCAGTTCTAGAAACAGATCTAGTTTGAGAGTTAGGAGGAAGGGGAAAATGTGAGGAAGAGTGAAGAGTAGAATCATCGGCGTAAGAATGGATAGAATTAGTTGTAGTGTGAAGTAAATCATTGATAAAAAGAAGGAAGAGAGTTGGTGAAAGAACAGGACCCTGTGGGACGCCACTATTGGTAGAGAAAGAGCGAGAAATCGATCCCTCGACAACAACTGCCATGGATCGATTCTCAAGGAAGCTAGAGATGAGAGAACAAAGTGGGGGAGAGACACCAAAAGAGGGAAGTTTAGATAGCAAAGACTTGTGCCATACCCTGTCAAATGCTTTGGAGATGTCGAGGGCCACGACAAAAGTTTCCCCATAATCCCTAAGAGAGGATGACCAAAGATGGGTGCAATAGGAGAGCAGATCACCAGTAGATCTCGCCTGGCGAAAGCCATACTGATGATCCGACAAAAGAGAAAGGTGTTTAAGGTGACGGAGAAAATTATAACATTGTACTTTAATGAAGGTCTTGATGTTATTTCCTGTTGACTAAAGATAGTTGTCACATTGAGTATTGTTCTCTCCCACACAGAGGCATTCGGCACAACTTGGACTAAACACTACTGCCTCTACCAGAAGGAGAACAGAGTCTTCACAATGATTCCCTACAACCAGATCCAACACAAAATTGTAAGTCAGATGGCAGGAACTGTACTACTTATGGTGTGTTATACAGTGACATCTTCATCATAAACCATACACTGTGGGTTTATGCACTATATGAGAGAGTGTAGTCCATTATATAGAGGTCCATTAGATATGAAACCTCAATATAACGGACTCTACCCATTAGATTGGTGTCCGTTAAGTAAAGGTTGTACCACAGTAGGGAAGGTTAGGGAGAAAAACTGTATACAGGGTGACCATTAATTATCTCATATACAGGTATTATAAACTTGGTAACCTCAAAAATGTTATAGATACAGCACACCTGATTAATATTAAACTGGACGAACATCTAACGGAGCCTCGATATAACAGACTCGTCTCTCCATATAGTCCGTTAAATAGAGGTTTCATTGTAAAGTATATCTTTTGTTTAAATTCTTCAGTGTCTGCAGCTAACCTTTCCACCATTATCTTCTACGTGTTCCCGTTGACCAAGTCTTTATAGTTTAAGTCCCTGATTAGTTTAAACCTTTTCATCTATAACTTATTTTGTTGTAGACTCCTATTCATATAGGGTAGACTCAATTATACAGCCTTTTGTAAGTGTATTTGGTAAAGATTAGAGGGAAAAATTAATATAATATAATTCAAATATTATATTTTGTATACTGACCATTGTATTCGTGTTCAATTTTATTTTTAGCTTTTGTTATTTTCTTTTAAGATTTTGAATTTTCATTTGTTCTTATCAATTCTTTTTTCTCCTTTCTTTCACACATAAACAGTGCAAGTTTGTAAGTTGGGGATTGAGTTTGTTAAATACCTTTAAAGTGATATAATAACATGATGAAATACTCTGTCATTTATTGTCATTAGATGAATTTGAATGTCATCATTTAATGTTTTTGTCGTTAGTTACTGTTCTCAAAAGTTTATATATTGTGTAAAAACTCGCATAATATATTGATACTTGTTTTGAACCCGATAATTGTTTTTTTTTTTTTTTTCGATAATGCCTGTTGCAGACGTCGACAGAAACTATAGTGCTGAGGTCTTGTGTGCGGCGGATGTCAGACAGTATAGACAAGAGATTTTGCTTTGATCTGACGGCCCAGGACAAGCCAGGAGTCCAGTACACACTACAAGCGCTGTCGGAGGAAGACCGCAAGCACTGGATGGACGCCATGGATGGGAAGGAACCGGTGAGTATAGACTTACTCAGTGAAACCTCTATATAACGGACTTCTCTCTCCATATAATTAATCCATTAGAGGGGGCTTCACACCTAACGGACCCTCGATATAATGGACTTTGCTCTTCATATAGTCCATTAAATAGAGATTTCCCTAGAGGTGTTTTGATGTGTTTGTTATTTATATGGAGACAACCAGAGCAGAGTTACTATACTGTATATGGTTAGCTATACCACACATTGAAATATTTCCTCACTACCTTCTTCATTATGTGAATAGTTTGCTGCTTCCTCTTCTCCAGTCGTACAAATTGTTCCTGCTGAGAGTCCACCATCGTGTTTCTTGTACAGTATTTACTTCTTCACCTCAAATATTTGTTGCTAATTATTTTATATTAATTATGACTTATACTTTAGGGACAATACTCAATTTGTATGTGTTATCGGCCTGAACACTTCCTGGTAGAAGCCTGACTAATTATGTTGTTTCAGATGTACGCCCACCCTAGTGGTGCTCCGGGTTCTCAGGAAGAGACATCTCTAGATGAAGTTGGGTTGAGCTTCACATCAAGAGCAATAGCCATGTTGGAGAGCAGAGGTAACACTGTATATAATGGATGAGTTTTCTTTATACATTACCACTGATGAAATATTTATAAACAAGCTGCCGACACAACCCTACGCTTCCCAATCTTTAACTGTTGGTACATAAATAACTGTACTGTACGTGTCTTTGTATTATTATTAACCCTATTTATTATGTAGGTTTAATTTCAGTTATACATATTATACAATATATTAATTTATAATTATCATACAGTATTTTATTTGGTGTTTCGTGAAATATTATAGGTTTTGTATATACAATACAGTAATGACCTTCATTTAACCAAAAAGTTCACTTATCCCAAATGGCTTTGATCCCAAACATTTTGGATTTTTTTAAGTTTGTTATGAGGTGAGGCATTTTGTTTGTGTGTAAGACATAATGGCATGAGCAAGAAATTAATTTATATATTAACACGTTCACAGGGCTGGAAGATCAAGGTTTGTACAGGTTAGTCGGTGTATCTAGCAAAGTGACTAAGTTGTTACAGTTGGGTCTAGATCGCCGGAAAGCTGAGAAACTGATGCTAGACGACTCTGCTGAATGGGAAGTGAAGACCATCACATCTGCCATCAAGCAATACTTCCGCAACCTTCCTGAGCCTCTCATGACGTACAAGCTACACAGTGCCTTCATCGCTGCTGCCAGTGAGCTCCTCCTCCCTTGTTGTTGATATACTGTAAAGAATATGTGTGTGTGTGTAATTGTGCCTGTGTGAGAGAGAGGGAGTGGTTGGTTGGTGATCACTACAGTATTTACAGTAATCTTCGTCCTCTCACAGAACAAGACCAGCTGTTCCGGCGTGTAAATGATATTCACGGTCTGGTTCACAAACTGCCAAAGACAAACTTCATAGTTCTCAAGACTTTAATTCAGCATTTGGTGAAGTGAGTACAGTACAGTACAGTATAATTCTTGTCATTATTACTTGTTACTAATTTGTAGTGTCCAATATCTGTACATGCATGTGTTTTATCCTAAGCTGTCTCAATCTGTAAAATGCTTTACTAGATATTTACTTATAGAGAACAGACTTGATATTGAATTTACTTATCTATTGCCGGTAAAAAAAATTATTTCTTCTGTTAATTATTATAAGTGGATTTCAGTTTGAATTTATTGGACTTATATATTTTACATTCTACAGTTGTTTGTGCATTCAATTAAATAATATTTTGGTCATAATATAATTAAAAATATTATGAAAATAAGATAGATACTAATTTTCTCCTGAGGTATATACAGTAGTTGTTGATAGAGAATAGAGAATAATATTGGACAGTTTAAGAGATGTATCAGGGTGAGTATCTGGTTGTGGTGATGTATCAGTTGCGGACAAGAGTTCTCCATCTGTGGTGAAACTGACAATTATGGGAATGAGTATCTGAACGACAATTATGGGAATGAGTATCTGAACTTACTTACCCTGGCTGTCGTCTGGTGAGGTTGTGCTGTCTTATTTCACTTGGGATCAATATTGCTTCATTTGGGAGGTAGCGAACTTTTGTCCCTGATTGTACTTTACTTGTCTACAGTACTTATTAAAATTATATAAAAAAATTGTGTTAATATAGTGATATAATTTATTGTCAATACAGTATTTTCTCAATTTAATGAACTAATTCGAGCCACCCCTTTCTGTTAAATCAAAATTTATACTAAATTGAATTTCCGTTATTTTTGCTTGATTTCAATCAAATTTCTGTTATTTTTACTCAATTTGATGAACTAAGTCGCTAAATTGAGCGTGATTCCTTTAAATTTCGCGCCAAATGTGCCACTTGGCATGTGCTGTTTGTTTACATCCGCTCAGTCTGTGTCCTGCCGCCACTGTGTGTATTATTCATTGCTACTTCTCGGTCAACTAACTACTGTACTTAGACATCGTGCTGAAAGTCTCTCAGAAGTCTCAGAAAGGAAGTGGTGTGGGGGAGAAAGTCAACAGAGTGCGGCTATCAATTGGAAAAAAGTTTGGAAATTGTAGAAAAATTTGAAAACAAACACCAAACCCCCTAGTTTAAGGTAAGCCATGAATAATGTTTCTAATATTTCTATGTACATATCATGTGTCTAAGGCGTCCCCGTAAGTGTGAGCGTATTAACGGAATTAATCTTCATTTAGCGAACTAGTTCACTAAATTGAGTGAAAAATAATGGAAAAAATTCCTTCAGCTAAATCGATAGTTTATTATATCGGATTCCATTAAATCGAGAGTATAGTGTACAGTGTTGCCCATAAGAGTGATAGAAGAGCCTCAGGATAGTAATATGATTTCTTGCCATTATAGAGTTGCCAACAAGAGTGAAAAGAAGGATTGTTATATAATTTCTTGCCATTATAGTGTTGCCAACAAGAGTGAGAAGAACCTAATGACAGTGAGCAACCTTGGGGTCTGTTTTGGACCCACGCTGCTCAGACCAGAGGAGGAGACTGTCGCTGCCATCATGGACATAAAGTTCTGCAACATTGTGGTGGAAATCCTTATAGAACACTTTGAGAAGGTTTGTTCTTCTTGTGACCATTCACTTGAACAATGTTGTTATTGGGATAATAATAAATTATTAATATTATTTTTTTATATATGGGCATACAGTATATGTCGTCACTGGTCTTTTGGTATACTGTTATATTTATTAAATTTAGATGATAATGTCTTTATTTTGGAGGTGATGAAGTCATAGTTAGGTTAGATTAGATTATGCTAGGTTAGGTTTATTCTGAACTGGTAATGAAATTTCCTAGAACCTTTTTTAAGTCATATAGCACCAGTTCTGCTCTACAGTAGTACCCCGATTTACGCGGTCAATTGAACCCATGGGGTACCGCGGAAAGTGAAAACCGCGTAAAGTGAACAATAGAACATATGGGATTAATTTCTATAGAAACTGGCCCGACCCCCAAACTCCACTTTTTCAGACACAATACCTACGTTGTAGTAAAAATTACATCTTAATTTTATGATGGTATGCACACACAATTAATAATTAAGAGAAATATCAATAATATTAGTTTTTTTAACACTTACATTAGTAGAAAAGATGGCTGGGCACACAGGGATGGAGGGTTGGTTCCGAGGCAGAGGGCAGATTATTGGCCCTCACTTGTATCAATTGTATCACTATCCACCACATAGGCTTGCAGGGCCTCTTTGTTAAACCCCTCAAAGTCCATATAAGTCCATATCCTCACTATCACTATCACTGACTTAGGCCGGCTGTGGTGGGTGGCGGGTGAAGAACTCGGTAATGTTTTGATGACTGGGCGACCTTGTGCGCATCCTGCCCGCGCTGCTTCCCGTGTATATGAGTAGATGCACCGCGGAAAGTGAAAGTTCGGTTCTGGTGAGGCACCGCGTAAATGAGAACTCGCGGAAAGTGAAACCGTGTAAAGCGGGGTAATACTGTACATGGTGAGGATTGGGATATACTGTAGTACAGTTATAGATTAGTGGTTACAGAAAGATATTCACCGAAAGACCAAATAGAAAGTAGTGTTTTATGAAGGTAAACTTGCTAATTGTGTCTCCTTCTTTTCAACAGATTTTCAGCTCTCAACCGGAGCCTTTAGTTGACGTCTCCCGAATTGGAGATGCGTCAGCGGCCCACAGCAGACAGACTCCTCCTAAATCTTCACCTCCACCACCCTCTCACAACCATGCATCCAGTGCTTCCCAGACCACCTCCTCACATAACCACACATCTGCCTCATCTGCGTCCTTGTCTCACTCTAAACATCCGCCGGTGTTACAAGTGAGTCAACACAAATTGTACTTTGTTGCTCAATTGTTGGCCCATTTGGTTTTGAAGTATGCCACTTGAGTTACAGGATACAGTGTGTAATACATTATATTATGTACAGTACTTTTACATTAATTAAAAAAGGTGAACGTTATTTTGTCAGGATTCACTTCTGATTTTTGTGTGATTATTATTATTTTTTTTTTTTTGTTAATTTGCATAGAAAGACCCTTTTTGTTTTTCCCCAGAAGGTTGTGACTTCCTTCACCACAAGTGAACCTCAGACAGTGCACTTTGGAGCACCGTCCAGTCTTCCCTCACAGTTACAACGTTCAGATGCATTGTCCAACCTTAAGGCCCAGACAACATCATCTGGGGCATATTCCAACATGCCTCCCCCACCATCCGCCACCCACCACTGGAACAATACTTCGTCTATATCTAGTCTTAACTCAGGTAAGAAGTTCATATTGAAGTGATGATGACCTCCTTACAGTTCATCTGGTTATTGACCTACTTAAAAAAGCCATAGAGTTTGTATGAATTTTGAGTCATGTAAATTATCCATCATGATTATATTATTGTCATTATCAACACAGTGCAGTTGTTATTATGTTTATACATGAACTCTTGTTAATCTCAGCCACTGTTAGCTCTGTTGATAGCGCACAGGAGTCCCAACCCAAGAGGCATAGGTTTAGTTCCATAGTAAAGTAGAACTATATGAATTATGGAGTTAAGAATGCTAGATATAGTTTCAACCATCATTCTGTATTGTGGATGGTTGATCAATTAAATTGGTTTATATACAGACTGTATAATGATTACAGTGAAACCTCCTTATAACGGACTTCTCTTTCCATATAATCCATGAGGTGGGGGTTTCACAACTAACAGACCCTCGATATAACGGACTTTCATCACCATATAGTCCATTAAATAGGAGTTTCACCATATAAAACATGTTGTATTATAAAGCTTAATGTATATTATCCTTCACAGGCCTAAACTCAGGGCTCAACTCGCATAGCTCGCTTGTTTCATTAAGTTCAACAGTGGCGAGTTCTATTGCCATGAGCGGGGCTTTTGACAGCGTCCAGAGCAGCCGACCTGCGCGTCCTCCTGCTCCTACCAATGGTCAGTCCAGAGCGGGGACAGCGCTGTCCTTTGTCAATCCTCTGTCTGGTACGTCATCTATTGCTTTGTATGTGTGACTGGTTGCTGCTCGATGATAACCTAACCCAACCTAACCCAACCCAACCCAACCCAACCCAACCCAACCCAACCCAACCCAACCCAACCCAACCCAACCCAACCCAACCCAACCCAACCCAACCCAACCCAACCCAACCTTGTATCTATATGCAGTATTAGTTGTGATCTCTAGTAGTAGTAATAACACTATTAGTTATATATGTCTTAAGAATTATAAGTGCTTGAGCTTCTACTTGTGTATACTGTATTAACATTAATTCACCTCCTGCACATTATACAATGTTGTATGAGTCAGGAGCAACAATCCCAACTTAAGCTGAATAATTATGCCTCCACATTCTGCCTATGCACTCTATACTGCCTCCACATTCTGCCTCTACACACTGCCTCCACATTCTGCCTCCATATACTGCCTCTACACCTTTCTTCAACACTATTCCTCAAAAATACTGCTTTTACATTCTGCTTCTATTGATCTGCTTGACAATGTCTTAATTAACATGATCTATAAGCTTCTTATGTTGTGCTGTCATACTACATCACTTCACCTGTACAGTATATCATGTTGTATACCCCGCACCCCTCCCCTCTAGCCTAACCTAACCAGAAGACAAAAATAAATCCCCTCATGCTGTCGGTCTGTTTGTCCATGCTCATGTCCGAGAACTTAATTTAGTTTGTTGTCAATTTAATATTGATTAAAGGGCATTAAGAAAGGATACATGTATTCTGGTTGTAGTTATCGTGTTAATACTGCTGATATCCATAACTTATCCGACCCAGTTAAAAAATCCTAACCTCAAAAACATTACGATATTTAACGAACACTTCATCAGTTTCTCTCATCTCGGTAGACTTCCACTTGTGTACTATACTGTGCTGTGTTCTATCTAATATTTATAAAGTTAATAAATTTTAAGATGGTTCAAATAATTTATGGACACCATGTGTGTTAATTGTGAGGCTGAACTTTATAATGTTTATTTCAGGTAGCTGTAGATGTTTTCCCTATGATGATGCTTGTGTAGGTCACTGCCAAATATTTTGTGTTAGATTATGTCAAGTGATTTATTGATATTTGTGATATAATGTATTTGTTAATTGTATTTGTGTATTAATTGTATTTATGAATTAATTGTATTTGTGATTTAAATGTATTTATGAATTAATTATACAGTATTTGTGTGTTATTAGAGTATCACATGTGCTCCTTATATTAACTTTGTTTTATTTATTTCAGACCGAAATGATGGAGTACAGAGCACGAGTAGTTCTAGTGAGTCACTATCATCCCGGTCATCACGGGAGTTAACACAACCGCCCTCCAACTCCCTCTCCTCCTCTCCGCAGACAAGTAAGAGGCTTCCTCATGTTGTGGCGCCCCCCAAGATGGGTGCTAACGGCCCTCATCGAGACGTCCGTTTGCAGCAGACAAACCATTATGCGTATAACAGCAGTACGTCACGCCGCTTTTGCTCGCACTTGTCCCTCACCTTCCCTTCACTAGTTCCTCTTGATAAAATGTTTGGTTCATTTGACTTGACTGCTACTCACACACCGTATCTTCATCTCTCATAACCAACACACTCTAAATTACTATTAACTACCTGTAGTCCATTGAATTTTATGTCAACCCTTAGACTTCAAGTAAGGACTCGGGTAAAAGAAAAAAAATAATAATTTCCTAACTTTTTTACATTAATAAGGAATTTCTTAGTTTACATCCCATTTCAGCAAATAGTTTTAAAATTACAGGTTGTACCTCTCTAGTCCGGCAACCTCGGGACCTGACCGGTGCCGGACCATGGAAATTGCCGGACCATAGAAATTCACCCTTTTCCTGGATAGATAGTGACTTGTGCTTATGCCTGGAAGCACTAGTACCACTTTCTCTGCATCATGGTCTCTTTGAAGACATATTGAAGGGTTAAATGTCGTATAGTAGCTTCTCAAATTTCGCGAGTTTTTAATTCTTACCGGTAACGTATTTTATTGGAACACACAAAAAAATAAATAAATAAAAATTTTGATGGCGGAAACTTGAATTTCGACGGGTTTGAACGGCCCGCCAACGTGCAGACGACGTGCATAATCGTGTAAACAGCGTCATTTCTCTTATGTACAAAAGATTCATTATTGTTTATTACTGAATATCTTTTTTATTGAATTAATGTTTGTGTGCAAAATGAGCAATACAATTCATTAATAATACGTAGAATATTAAAACACACGAGGAAATGACACAGAATTGTATTCGTTGATTACAAAACCAGTGACTGACTGGTTCTACATATAAAACTGAAGAAAATAAGACCTTGGTTGTAGCTGTAGTAAAATTAATATGGTTGTTTTAAGTAATGTTATTTAATGTTAATAAATGGAACAATAGAAGTAGCTAACGATAATGGTAAAGAAAAAGAGAGATCGCATATGTAAGTGCGCATGCGCACACGTGAAAACATATCATCATTACTTTACATAAGAATATGAAAGCAACACTTATTTACTGTTCATATATATTTTAATTAATGTTTCTGAATTTGTTTTTATTGAATTAATGTACGTGTGTGCAAAATTAACAATACAATTTATTAATAATACGTGGAATATTAGAGGAGACGAGACGGCTGCCGGCATTGTTTATGTTAAAGCTTACGAAACCAGTGACTGATTGGTTCTACATATAAAACTGAAGAAAATAAGACCCTGAGTTTAGCTGTAGTAAAATTAATGTAAAAAATGAATATGGTTGCTTGAAGTACCTGTAATGTTATTTAATGTTAATAAATGGAACAATATAAGTAGCTAACCATTAATGGTAAAAAAAAAAAGTGAGACTGCTCGTATGTAAGTGCGCACATGTGAAAATATATCGTCATTACTCTACATAAGAATATGAAAGCAACACTTATTTACTGCTCATATATATTGAAGGGTTAAATGTTGTACTCTGTATAGACAAGCAGAGAGAGAGAGAGAGAGCAACCGAACTGCCGGATGTAAACAAACCTTAATTTCCCGCGGCTTTTTTTTTTAAGGGGATTAGCCCACCCGGGAATAGGTCACTGACCCACATTAGGGCCTGAGGGGCAAAAATTTAATACTCCTGTAATAATAATAATTCAGATAAGTAAAAAAAAAAAAAAAAGAAAGAAGCTGCCTATCTACCTATTGGACAAACTAAAATCGTTCCGGACCACGGGAGTTTCCGGACCACAGAATGCCGGACTAGAGAGGTACAACCTGTATTAGCATTGTTTACTAGTTGAGTAGAGTAGCTGTGTGTTGTGTTTGTGAATGTTATAAAGCTACAGAATGATCTTTTAATAAGTCTGGCAAGTAAAATATTTCTGTTATATATTAAAAAAAAAAAGGTTTGTCCTCACTCTCAACTTGGATTCTGAAGTTCAGTTTGGGTCAGGAGATGTCTTTCTACCCCACACATCTCTAAACAGTGAAGCCTCTATTTAACGGACTGTATAGAGATGAAAATCCATTATATCGAGGGTCCACTAGATGTGAAACCCTCCATCTAACGCATTGTATGGAGAGAGAAGTCTGTTATATGGAGGTGTTCACTGTACTGTATTAAATCATTTACATGTAAAGATAAAATAGCTTGAGCTTTTTTTGACACTGATGTCTTCCTTAAAACACAAAAATATGCATGAAATTGGTTTTTAACTCGGTAAATTTCTCATAATGTGTTCTCTAAAATTTAATTTGTAATTTTTAAGTAAGACTATAAGAGTAACTTACTCTTATCATGGAGATAATAAAAAAATCCCTATAGTACAGCAGTTCCATTTTATTCTATGTAATAAGGTAACAGATACATGAGGCCTCACTGCCTGGATGAACATTATTAATGCTACTGTAATATTGACTCACTTTAAAAGAATAATTACCTTAAATTGTGAAAATAAACCTTAACTCTTGCTGTTGACAGTTAATAGTAATGACAGATGAATGTTCAATGATATAGTTCTTTTATTATGAGACATGAAGAAATATTTGGTTAAAGTTTGAGGATAAATTAAAGTACTGTACATGAATATTCGTTAAAATGGGGGTTTCACATCTAGCAGACCCATGATATAACATACTTTTTCTCTGTATTGTCTGTTAAATAGAGGTTTGGGGTCCCATTATTGTCCCGGTGGGTGTGATGGTGACAAGTGGGAGTCCTGAGAGGTAGTGTTGCTTCTGTGTTGTGTGACTCTTGTGAATATAACACTTTGATGTTCTGGTAACTGATTGATTACTGTTAATGAATACTGTGCACTGATTGGCTACTGTTAATGAATACTGTACACTGATTGGATACTGTTAATGGATACTGTGTACTGGTTGGTTACTATTGCAGGGTTGGATAATATGCACTGATTGGCTATTGTTTATGGATACTGTGCACTGAATGGCTACTGTTAATGGATACTGTGTATTGATTGGCTACTGTTAATGGATACTGTGCACTGATTGGCTACTGTTAATGGATACTGTGTATTGATTGCCTATGGGCAATGGATATTGTGCACTGATTGGCTCCTATTAGAGGGTTGCATAATATGCACTGAATGGCTACTAGTAAGGGGGTTGGATAATGTGCACAGATTGGCTACTGTTAATGGATATTGTGCATTGATTGGCTACTGTTAAAAGGATACTGTGCACTGATTGGCCAGTATATGGTAGTTGTAGCGTAACGTGGCCAATCCACAAAGTGTTATGTATACAACAGCCACTTAACATTGCTGATGCATGGCTTTATTTATTTTCTCTTCTCACTTTATGGCCACACCGGTCCCACCACTCTTGTTTGTATCATGAAGACAGATGTGAGTGAAGGCTATTTGAATTGCTTTTAAATTATTGCACGAATTGCTCTGTGTTGCATGGTTTACTAAATGTTTCATGCACCCTGCAGCTGTCAGTGTATAACCAGGGTAAGTTGTGCTGACAATGCTTCTTAAGTTTGCTGTTGCATGGCCACCCTTATGTTATTGATTGTCATTTGTTTATTTGGCTACACTTGCTTGCTTTGGGGGATTAAGTTAATATTGTTTATGATATATAGATGATGTGTTTATTTGCTATAGTAATTACGGCATGTTTGTTTCAGTAGCACGACTTTCTGTATTTGATGTAGATGTTGTTGTTACTGGATCTGTTGACTGCTACATATTTGTTAGATTAACTGTGAGAGAATTGGTGTTACTGTGATGTGAACTTGTGTGACTTTATCATGGTGATGTTCATGCTGTCTCATTATTTTTTTATTTATAGATTAGAAATACACAAGTAAAGATAATTTTCAGGCAGAGAGGATTTGTACATTTTAATAGACTGGGAAGTGAACAATTGCTATAAAGAGATTGTAATTAAGAGGTGGACAGCAGTAGGGAGAGAAGACCAACAAGATGGAAGAATAGGGTGAAGGACAAACCAGAAGTAAGGGGGATGGACAGCTAGGAAGCAGCAGTGTGTGTATGAATGATCAGATGAGAGTTTCTGTGAAGGACTTACTGATGGATGATGTTAGAGTATGTACAAGATCAGAAGTAAACTAGATGGATATTTGGGATTATGTTGTGGAACGGAAAACCTCAGCTGAACTCCTCTGTAAGAAGGAATGATGCCAGATTAGGTTTGAGTCTGTGTGTACTGTATTTGTGTGTCTGGATATGAGTCTAGCATACAGTTCCATCGTGGAAGAAGGTTTTAAAGAGGGAACCAAAAATATTATGCCTCTCATGCCTTATAGAAATAGCCCATAAGAGGATGATCACATGTTGAAGCTTTTCCACACTTCACAACCAGTGTTTGGGTCTGTATCTTTAAACATTAACAACACTGCAACCTGTGTCAGTTGTTGATGCATTGGTGTAGCTGTCACAAAAGTGAATCCTTTGCTTCTTGGTGCTATTGAGATCAAAATGTGTAGAAAGAATGAGAGGTTTATCTCACCAAGTATATGCGTGTGGAAATGTGAGTGGAAGGAAGCAGAGTAAGCCAGGAAGAGACAAAAAATTATGATAAATATTAAAATAGGTTATATTGAAAGTAGAGTATTGAGCGTGATAATGTTTGGCTCATTACTGTAGGTAGAACATGACCAAGAGTAAGACGTGGCACTTGGGGGAGGACCACCTTCTATTATTTTACAATTTGTCACAGTATTCTCTCAGCAACTTGGATCATATAGTCATATGTACTTATCACTTAGATGTAAGGCTCCATAGGTAGAGCATCTTCCTCACAAGTGAATAGTCACAGGTTATGTTCCCTGCTGGTGGATAAAGGATTGGGTTCCCTCCTAGCACTCTATACCTTTTGTACTCAGCAAGAAGTGAGTCACCCTGTGTCTTAGTGGGAAATGGCTTATATTCATGAGAATTTTATTTTTTATTAATTTATTTATTTTATTTTTATTGTCTCCAAAGCACAGGATTAATATTTTGACAGTGCCTCTCACTAATGAGTTGGAGGAGAGAGATAAGTTTTGAGAGCATGACTGGCTCGGCGACCTACTAGTGAGTAGTAGGCTTTATGGTTAGGTATATTAGTGTTGGATACATTAATAGTTATGTTGTATAACTTGTAATTATAAATGTTTAATAATAATGGTTACACTGAAATTAGAAAAATAGAAAATAAGAGTTCTGAAGAATGACAGACTATGATGACCCATATGAGTGGTGTACTTTTATATCGAGAACATTCATATTTGCTTCTTGTAGAGATGTGAGTAGTGCCGGCAGTGTTTGTGAGTTTAGTAGTGAAAACTGTTGGTAAAATGGCATTATTGTTGGAATTAGTTAGCATAGTGTAGGTGTTTGTTTCTGTGTGTTTGTGAGATGTGCATTTTACCAGTGAACATTTTGTAGAGTAGCCTTCACCAAATAAATGAGCGTAGCTTGGTATATATCCTTTCCAGATGCCAGACTTGGGACGGCTTATCCCCCGACCTACCGCCAACACATGGAGACGTAAGTAAACCCCAAAATTTGTTGTTTTGATTGTGTCATCTTCATTTAAACAACTGTAGATGTTTGTCATGGTTTATAGGATTATTTCTAGTAAAGTGATCAGCTGTTACTATGGAGAAATTTATCTTATGTTAATATTCTCTCCACAGAAACTTATATTTACAGCAGAAAATGATGTTGGCTAATGGGTTAGTTTTAGTATTGGATTTGGGAAAGTTAACTGTTAATTATTATAATATTTACATCAGGTATGAACTTGTAAAAATAATTGAATTCTGAGAGTTGAAAAATATTACATGACCAGAAATATGACTATAAAATTTACCCCATTTTGTCCTCCCTAAATAATCTCATGTTTTCATTTCCTCATTTTGGCCTCTAGTCTGTGCAAGAGACAATCTCTGGAGTTCCTCTACTCGTCTCTGTAAGTGTAGATGTCGAGTCTTGCATGTGATGTTAATAACTGTTAAATTGCTGTTGCTCCTCCTCATAAAAATACAGTAACACTTTGCAGTATCTTGATAACTTCATTTTTTTCTGTATATTAAGTATTCCCTGATTGACACAATGCCAGTGTTGCATGACTTGAGTTTATTTTGACCTGTAATGGTGTTTGAGATTCTGGTCATTACATTTCATCAGGTTACTTAAATTCTTGGTTTACATAATTAAAGTTTTAATCATCATGTTTAAGTTGCCATTTTGAGAAGTTTAAAGCCAGGAAACAATAATTTTGAGTTGTAGTTGTGGTGTTAGTTTGAGACACTGTTCTTAGGTTTCTATCAACAGAGGAAGCATATTAGTAGTAAAGGTCATTATTGTTTCTTGAATGATGGTACATTTGTTATACAGTACACACAGACTTGGGGGATTTGTCCTTGAAGACTTGCTTAAAAAGGGCCTTAAAATTTATGGAGAAAAATGTTAGGGTGTAATGACATGTAGGTTAACCTGACCATTAGACTGAACTAAGAACAAGACAAAGTTTTATATAGAAGAAAGGATAAGAAAGGTTTTACCTGATCACATCATGTAGAAAATAGTTTTCTTGGCTTTAAACTTTGGGTTGTTTCTGTGTGGAATATTAACTGAACATTGTGGAACAATGCTGTTATTATGAGTGTGTAATGTGTTAGTGTGTGATGGTAAAGTACTGTTTTATGTTTTATAAGAGGATTGTTCAGCATTATGTTGCTTGGTATACTGTGCTAAAGTGTGTTGCTTGATAAACTGAGGAGGCTACTACAAATACATTTAAACTATAATTCTATAGTGTTTGCTGTTTGATTTTGTCTTGGATTTGTTATAGGTGAATCTTCCTTATATTTTTTTTCCATGAAATTCTTCTTGCTTCAGAAATTAGACAAATTAATTGAAATAGCTCATAATTGCTGTAAGTGCATCTGCATGGAAGCTGCGGATATAGATTTAAGATGTTGTGCAATATGAAATAAACCAATTATAAACATTTGTCGCTGTCAGCATGGATAAGAATATTCTGTGTGTGTGTGTGTGTGTGTCACTGACTCATTTGGGACATCACTTGTATTCAGGGAGGTACCCTCATGAGAGGTTTGTCTGTTGCCTCTTACTTCAGTTTGGCACCATCAATTATTAGCTAACACACAACCCTTTACTACTGACTGGATGGAAACATGTTTCAAGCCAACCAACTAAGTGTTAAGAGTGGCAGTAGATGTGTTTGTTTGAAATCTGAAGCAATAAAAGAAAGATGCTGAGTATCTCCCGCATTCTTACACCTTGGTTGACTTTTCCCATTAATCCTGAGACCTCAGTTGACTTGCTTCATTTGAAATTTGGCAGAGATATTAGTCCCCTCAGAGCTTGGATGACCTTCATACAGTAATAGGCATCATCTAATAGTGTTAACCAGGGAATTTAATGTGCAAAACTGTATTCTGGGGTACAGTATATTCTATGTTTGACTTTTCGTCAACCAAGATTAGTTTACTTGTTATTAGCAAATTACTTACGGCCTCCAACACTACGTGACATAGAAGGCCTCCACCAGATTACTTTGTCAATCATTGAAATACCAGATCAGCTTGAGACACTGCCTGTACTGTACTGTAGTGAGAGTTATGGTCTACGGCAGATGGTTCCATATGATGCTTTTCTGGCATCTTCTTTTAGACACATAAATTTTTATATTTATTTTTACATACCTGTACTGTATTTTAAGATTTTCTCAGTGTAGTTACTTATATTGTCAATAGTTAATTATGAAGATCTTCAAAATCTCCCATTTTTGGAAAACATTTTAGTTTGTTTGGCTTGGTACAGTACAGTAGGACTCTTAACCAAACCCTAATTCCAGCCCCTTTTAACTTCTGCCATGCGTGGTCATTGTGTGATGTGAGGCTGTAGATTCACCATCAGGAGTACATGACCTGGTGTGAGAATGTGGGAGAGTTGTGGCTATTGGCAGTCCATTGCAAGTCTCCCTCTCCCCAGTCATTGCAGCTTGCTGCACCACTGGATCAGGAAAAGGGAGAGCCAAGATGTGTGGTTGCAGTCTGTACTCCTGCCTCACCACATAAATCAACTCACTTGCAGCAATCATCTAACTCGTATCATTGTATCATAGCTGGAAGAACGTCATACTCAATTCTGAGTGACAGCAAAGTAGTAGTACAGTATTCTGATTTGAATTTTATGTGATTTAATTTGCATTAAGAGGCTGAGTGTGCACAACAACTAAAAGTTACAAACACAGTTCAGGTTATTTCTTTATATATTATTTGGCAACACTGTAATGATAAACTTTCCCAGGTTACTAGTGAATGTTTCATGGATGAATTGTTAAAATTAAAAAATATATATATATAAGTGTAAGGATTTACTTGTATGGAGTTGAATATGTTGCTTGTGCTGTTAAGAATAAAGTACTGTACTATATAGTGAAGAAGGAATAAAGGAAGGTGGAGCAGTTCCAGATTTAGACCTGTGGAGGCCCATGGGCATCCTCTTTGTGGAGGCCCCCCTCATTATAACGACCCAAGAGGGTGGGGTGGCGAGTGAAGCGAGCCTAAATATCTGGGAGTTCGGGGCTGTAAGCCCCCTGGGAAAATTTTTAAATTTGAACACTTCTTTGGAGAATTTTGAAGCCATATGCAGTTATATTGAGGAAATTAGAACATAGAGAAATTTTTAATTAATTGTATATTTATTGATAGTGTACAAATTCCCAACGTACACACACACACACACAAAAGTGAGACATGACTGGAGTCATTCATATGGTTTCAAGTCGACCAGCCCTGATATAGCTACTACCGCACATGTCAAAAATTTTCAAGAGACTTCACAGAAATGCACACATGACAATTTTCTCTCTCATTTTACATCTGCAAGACATGTTTATGTCTGCTCGTGGGAAGTTCACGAATCATGGGCGACGCAAGTCTCCTCTTTAATCGACAGACACATGACAACCAATGTGCAGATACTACACGACCCAACCCCCTCCAACCGACTGTCAACAAACACAGCGCCCTGATGGCATTTGTAATGGAAGTGATAATGAAAAAATATTTTATTTTTTTTTTTTTTTAATCTCAATTTCGTTATTCCATGTAGTTCATTTTAATCAATATATGTTTGTGGAATTCTAAATATATTATTAGCAACACAAGCAATAGCATTCATTAAAAATATACGGTTCATAGGAAAACCAGGTATTCATGAATTTCAAGGAGTAGCTAGCCTAATTTGTATCATGCTTCTTGCTGAACATAGTTTTATGTGATGGAATAGATAAACATGAATTTTAAAGAATGAAAATAAAAATAATCCAAATGAATAAACAAATAAATATAATATTGGAATATGTGGAGGCCCCTGGGCAGCTGCCCACTTTGCCCACTCCTGAATCCGGCCCTGAGGTGGAGTATGTTCACTGCCTATCTGTTTTATAGAGGAAGTTTGAGGTTGTGTATAATAAGATGGATTTATTGTTTAAACAGAATAGATATTAAATATTTGGTGTGTACAGGTAAGTTGTATTTATATTTATTAGTATCATTTATTTATTGCTTCACCACTTACCAGCTTACTAGCCATTCAGGTGATTAGTTTGTTCGTTGTTACAACCTTTATTGTCTGGCGTTGGGTTAGGTTTCCTGCGTATATTACTGGATAATTGTAATACTGTACTGAGGTGAAATAAGTTGTGAAACTGATATGCAAAGGGAAGGTTCAGAAGGTAAGAAAGAGATGCAGGAGGAGAGAGTTGGATATGAGTATACAGGCAGTTCCTGGGTTACTTACTATTTCTGGTCCTACGGATGTTCTTAAGTCGAAAATGTACTCGAGTCCAACATCATACCCTATTTGCATACTGTACTTACAGAACAATGTTTAAAATCCCACCATATCATAGCCTAAGTCCTTATATACATCTAGAATTACTTAATTTAAGAAAAATAAAATGACAAAATACAGTAAATGAAAGTAAAATTTAAGTCATCTGGTAAATAAAATACTGTAAATTTAAAGTTTAACACTTACATTGAAACCTGGGGCTGGCTTCTCACTTTCTCCTGAATCAACGCTAGGCTTACAGGTATATGCTACTGATTTTGATCTTCCACCCATATCACTAGCAATCTTTCCATTTCAATTATTAATCCACTTCTTTGTTTTATCACAGTTGACTGCATTGGTGTAGATCCTTTTACATGTTCAAGAATTTTTTCTTTCAAAATTGTTCCGATCATTGACCGACTGAAGCCCAATGCTTTGCCAATGACTAATGGTGTTTCACCTTTTTCAGGAGGTTTAATTATTTTAACTTTAACTTCCATTGTAATTGTTTTCCTTTTCATGGATGTACTACTATCACTTGCATCAGATTTGCATTTGGGAGCCATGTTGAGTGCAGAAAAGTAGAGCTACATTGTAATAAGAAAAAACCTACACTTTGCTCTTGGTCACACATGTTATTGAGACGAGTGTAAGTCATACTGACAATACTGCAAAGCGTGTAACTGGGTGACACTCCACTCGTCACCTGCCGCTCTGCCGCACAAACTAGTTCTCGTACTTATACAGGATTCTTAAAATAATATACTGTATGGGAACCTCGTTCATATCGGTGGATGTTCGTGTCGGACATACCTGTACTTGGTAAATGTATCATAGACATGTATACTGTACTACTTTGTATTTGTTGTTAACTAATACAGGTTGAACCTATAATCTGGCAACTTTAGCTCCTGAGTAGAGGCTGATCATATAATTTTCTGATTTATGTAAGTTTATACAGTACATTACTGAATAAGGTAAAAATTACTTGGCGACTCACAGTACAGTACAGGAACTACTTGGTAGTATGTATGGTAGTTAATCTTCCTTGAGCTTATTAACTATTTTATTTAGTGCTTTATATCATAGAAAAAACGTTGTTGTTACCATCTCAATATTGCAATAGGTGAGCCATAGTTTCAGAAACAAGTATGCTGATACATTTAGTATGTGATGAGTGTACTGTACAGTATCAGTAGAGATTTTTGTATTTTGCAATATTTAAGGATCATTTAATTCACAAGCCTAATTTTCTGACACAACCGGTAAGCAGTTTTTATGTATAAAAGTTTTTGAATCAGGATTTTCCTGTTTATGGAAATACAGATTTGGGAAGTTCAATCTATGGCTCTTTGTTTTTAGTGAGACAGGACAGCTCCAGCTCCTTGTTAAAAAGACAGAGAGAGAAAATGTTAGAGGCTAAAAAATAAAATAGATACTGTATAGGATGAAACACTGATCCTGGGAGTTTGAGGAAAGACATTGTGGTCAGTTTTTTCGAACAGGAAAATTTAGGACTGAAGTAAAGGTTTGAATATTGATACAGTAGTAAAGGATAAACTTAATATGGATGGTGTAGTGCAGTACTTTTATGTTCTTGGAATTAAATACTAGTTAATTAAAGTGGAATTACAAAGGATGTAATTTTTTTCATTCATACAAGCTTTTTACTGCCATGATGCAAGGTAATTCTTAAATCAACAACTGGTGGGTTAGGTCACTCCCCTGGCAGCATGCGAGTCGCTAAAGGGTTGTTCCATCATTAGTAAACACACCTTATATAAAATAATTCTTGCTGAATCAAACCTGTAACCGTTCAATTTAATCATTTAAGGAAGAAGCTTGTATGAAAATGGAAGCTATACTTGTTATGGAATTGTTAAGCCTATATAAGTATTTGTTATGGTTTTGGTACTCGTGTTGATAATTTTGTTTGTTGACACAGGAACTCCATCAGTGGGTCACAGTCCACCTTGAGTCTCCTGGCCCCTACCAGCTCTTCTCCCCCTCCCTCGTCATCATCCACCTCCAACGGGACGGTCAACTCTCCACCAAGGTACGTGGAGGAGCCTCACTGTTGGGTGCATGAATGGATTCAGTAACTCTGGAATTATGTGTTAACACAACCTACTGTTGTCTTAATTTAATCTTATTTACACATTTACTTAGCTTATGTATTTTATCAAAATAATTGGCAATAAAACTATTTAGTCTTTTTAACATGAAGAGGAATAGACACCTTCAAGATAGTCTCAATTAAGGAATTGGTTTATGATTTCCGGAGACACTTCAGTCATTAATACTGTTAAAATTATACAGTGCAGTACAGTAATATCTCCGTTAGCTGGAATCCCTCAAACCCAGAACTCTCCAATAGCTGGAATTGAAATTTTATTGGAAAATTGTTCCCAAACCTGGAATTTTGCGGAAAATTCCGGCTTTGGGAATTATTTTCCGAGGGGCACATTTCCGGAAATTCTGAGAATATTTTTCCGGTACCCGGAAAATTCCGGGGATGTGGGATATTTTTCCGGGTTCGAGATGATGTAATGGGTAATTTCTGGAACTTTTGAAAAAAAATTCCATTACCCAGAAAATTCCGGGGATGAGGGGTCTTTTTCTGTCTTTGAGAGAGTCGTTTCGTTACCTGGAAATCTCTCATTCCCGGAAGTGCTCTGCACCAATTGTTTCGGCTGATGGAGATATCACTGCAGTTGTCTTAATGCCAATCCCAGTTGGTTCATCTGTGTCATTTGGTAACTGATGCCTTCATCATATTACGGACAGCTGTAGAATTATACAGTTTACGTTGGATTATGTTTTACCGTTTCCTTTTTAATGCTAAATTTTTTTGTTTATGTGCAATTCATTGAATTACCAAACACCTAAACATTCATAGTGTCATAGGACCAGGTGAATCATGGGGTTTAATATTGTGAAGTTAATATCCTGGCAGGTCTTACAACATTAACACAACACCAATATAATAATTTCACAATTTGTATGGAAATTGTCATAAATATTTTAAATATACAAGCGGTAAAACATGTATACAGGAAAAAAATAGAAAAGTATATTACATGAATTAGTGTAAGAAGTATAGGGAAAAGTTACTTAAAAGAACTTTACTAAAGCATTGTACACCTGGCCCTTGATAGGCACTGCTCAAGGCATTGTTCACAGTTTAATTCCTCTTTGGGTCTTGTTTGTTGGCCCTCTCCATTCATTTTACTGTAAAGGAACATGTTAAGTACATTTCTGGGGCAAGTAAAGTAGAAGCAATTAAGTACAGTATTTATTTATATAGAAAACTGTGCTTTAAGATGATGGCATACCTCTTGTTATATTATCCATCTCACCACAAGCAGACACTGTAAAGAGAGGCCATCCTCATAAGTAGACATTATTTTGATACAAAAACTACTGTACTATCATATAATATAAGAGAACTTTAAACCCCAAATTCTCGCATGTCCCTAAAATAATTTTCCTCAGAAAAGTACACTACACAATTTTTTTTCTTTTTTCTTTATGTTAATGCCAAAACCTGTAAGTCTATTTTTATGCCACGTGTTCAATGTAAGCCCCTTTCCCACCAATCACTGCCTGCATTCTAACAGCTTGATTGTTCACCACTGTTTGGAATGTTTCAAATGGAATATTCAGAATTTCACGTCTGATGTTGTCCTTAAGTTGTTCAAGGTTCCTTGGTTTTGGGCTGGCATAAATCCTCCTTTAAATGCCTCCAGAGAAAGAAATCTGGGGGTGTCAAGTCAGGGGAGTAGGGAGGCCACTCAACATCTTCACAAAAGAAAATCAAACGGCCTGGGAAGTGCTGCAGTATAAATTCTCTAGTTTCCCTTGCGGTATGCGAAGGAGCTCCATCTTGATGGAACCACTGAGTTCTCATACATATTTGCATATTCCTACGACGAGCATGTCTGTACAGTTCCAGAATGTAGAAGTTCTCTAACATCTGACGATAGTTCACCTGATTGACAGTCACTGTTCTTCCAGCACCATCCTCGAAAAAGTATGGTCCAATGATACCATACCAGCCCATGGCCATCCACATTGTAACTTTAATAACAGACCGAGGAGTTTCTTCAATAAGTGACTGCCTGGATTCTCAGTTCCCGAATACGTATTGAAAGTTATGTTTGTTGATGACTCCTGACAAATGGGCATGACATTCGTTGGTCATGTGAAATTTCCTCAGGAAATTCTCACCTATCTTCGACTTTCTCAGAAAACCTCCATGCAAATTCTAGTCTGTTGCCTTTCTGCTGTGGTGGGAAGGCATACAAGTCAGTCTGAAGGATACGTTGCACCGATGACTCTTACCACGTTCACATTTTCATGTGTGCGAGCTGTCTTGCATGCCCCACTTCTTCCTTTGTTTACATTGCAAACAGATCTATGAGTAGAGAACTTGGCAACTAACCTATTGATAGTCTTTCTATCAGGAGCATGAGCAGTTTTGAAATGTCTATGGAAATTTTGCTGCACCTGCACTACACTTTTATGTCTGGTGCCAAAACTCAGTAATTTTTGTTCTTTGATTTAGAGTCAGTTGTGACATCTTTTGTATCTTAGGTTTGAAACAAAACTTGAGGGTATCTGAAACAAAAAATATATACATTAGATGAGAATACAATAGTAATAAAGTGTTCTTGTGACACTTTCTTTTTAGGGAAATTTTTCTGGGACACCCAATATGTATAGTATAGTAGTGTCTGTGGTGTTCAGGTAGGGACTTGGCAGATGATGGAGACTAGCTCACATTGTTGGTATGCCTCATAAATTTACTTACAAGTGTTGCCCTCATGCTGTACATCCATCACTTATGAGGTGGCTGTTCCTCACAAAACAGAGAATATATCTTCCCCAATGTTAATGTTGTGTCTTTGTTTTAAGTACATTTTATTGCTAGTAACTTACATTTTATGATGCTTCATAGATCAGGCTTTGTGTAATATCTAACTGCATTTAATTTAACACAATCTGGGAGCTTTGTGTGCAAACTGTTATAATCTGTAGACATACAAATTGAGGTGTTAGAATAGTCAGGAGTTGCTTACTATGTAATAATTGTGAGGCTGAGAACTAACCAATTGTGTTTTTGTTTCAGGCGTGTGAGAACGTTGTATGCATGTGTAGGAGAGAATGAGTCTGAGCTTTCTTTTGAACCAAATCAAATTTTGAGCAATGGTAAGTCATCATCTTGATGTAAGAGTTTTGGTCTTTTATTATTATTGCATCTTACATTAATTGTAATGAATTCAATACAGAAGTGAATATTTTATACCTCGGAGTAGCTACATTGATGTGTATGTTTAACATTTTCAGTTCGGGCGTCACGAGAACCCGGCTGGCTCGAAGGAACGCTAAACGGACGAACTGGTCTGATTCCTGAAAATTATGTTGAAGAAATAGATGATAAGCCGCCGCCTCCTCGGCTGATATCCCAGAGAAACACTGACGTGTAATGTGAAAGAGACAGCCATCTAGTGGACACAGAGTGGAAGTTCTCACTGACCTTTATGTAAGGAAAAGTACGGTACTGTATTGTGTCTTAACAATATCCACTGCTTACATTATACTGTATTGTTGACCAGTGATACCTGTGTACTGTGTACTTTACTGTACTGTATCTCTTCAAAAACTTACTTGGGAGATGTTTGCTTCATGTACTGTATGTCAGTCAGTGATGGAACATATGCCTTCAACTTTGATAATGATAATCCTCATGGGCCTTAGGTACTCCCAGGACTTCCTGTGCTATTAAAGAAATTTTCAGCCATATCAAATTCTCAGATTCATGGATATTTTTCAAGTGATATCTGTGCATAAATGAAGACATGTGAAAATAAGGAAAGCCGAGAGAATGTCTGTATGTGGTATGAGGTGACAGTGCTTCTCTTTACAGTAATCAAAATGAACATGATCTAATAAGTGCCACAATGTTTCCTTACCAACAAGTCCTCTTGATGTCTGGGATACTGTTATTAGTCACCCGACATGTGTGATAGAAGGTCACAATTTAACCATAAATGGAGGAAATTATACAATGGGGAAAAAATATTGAAGCTCACACCCATTTGTTACCTTTGACACATGAGAATGAAGGTGTTCTTAGGCATGGTAGTGAGTGATAGTCAGAAGTATTCCCCAAGTACTATAATAGTCTGGACTTTGGTTAAAGAAAGAAAAAAAAGCATCACTATCCAGGACATTTTGGTCATAATGTTCATTCTTTATGATTTTAAATATTTATTTGTGGGAAAAATATGAAGATTAACCTCAAGGAATGATTTTCTCATTATTAGACGTTATTTTTTTAAATGTCATCACGAACTCTTTGTCTCAAGATTCTATTTGGATTTACTAATGATACAAGAATCGATGATGTGACTGATAAATTTTAATCTATCATTTTGTTTTAAATGAACTCAAATAACATTACAGTATCGCTCTTTGAGGAGGTTTTCAATTTTATGAGTACTGTATTTTAATTTGAAGAAACATTGCCATAAAGAATTATGAAAGTGATGAATGACCTGGATAGGTCTACTGGATAATGATGAACTGTCATAGTGTACATGTGTAACAGTGATGACCTAGTCTGAACCAAAATAATTGGAGAATGTATATTTAGCCTCTTCATGTAACAAACATTTGTACATTTGAGTATTTTGTAAATATTGTTTTATTATCATATACGTATTACATAAGTAATGCATAACTTCAAGTTTTGTTTTCAATAGCCAAATGATTTTAAATATGTGAGCTCGGTTTCCTTTTTTATCAATGTACTGTTATGTCAGACGAAACCAGCGCTTTACTAGAAAAGACACGTGAGATACAATAGCTTAGAATTTGTTAACTTTTTTGGTCACTCATGCATGATTCCTTAAAAATATATTAAGTATGAACGGAATATTTGTATATTTTAGGTATTCAGTGTAAGGCAAAGGTTTTTGTATGCAGCTAGTCAAGTAATATTCATTGTGATGTACAAAACCATTACAATGTAATATGTAGTTCAGTAATTCCAGTAGTGAGATGGATTAAACAGTTTTAACTATTAAGAGAGGTGACCAACCACTTTAACTACAATGGAATAATGTTGATTGCATGAGAAAGCTGCCTTAGCCTATGATGATTATTGATGGCCTCCAGAACTGAAGAAAGTAACTAATTGATGGACTTCATTCATTTTCATTTTGCTCGCTTACCCATTACACACACACACACGGTCCACTGTGACGAATGATTCCAAAGAGTAATAATTCTGGCTTTTATGTTACGTAATGGAATTGAAGGAAGATTTAATTGTCATTGACTGTTGTGGTGATGTTTGTGGTCTTCAGCGATGATTGCTCTGTTGTTTGTGGGTAATATGAGGAATCATTGTAAGTTGGATTGGCCAGTTGATAACATTTTGCTGAGATATTCTACATGTTCTATAAGCTGTGCATTAAGAGGTACAAGTAACATACCATAAAAGTTTGCTTTGGTTTAACATACATTCCGTTTACAGTAAGCTCTTAATTATTATTATAGAGACAAGCAGATGATATTTGTGACATTATTACTTTTAAGTGTTTGTAACATGTCATTGTGGCTGATTTAAGTACCGTATTTATAAAATTATGGCAAAATCTGTTTGAAACATTTGAATTCACGGTTGGCTTCTCTCTACAACTGATGTTCCTTTTGTCTAATAATGAAATGCATAAATAAGTACAAAGGTCTTTCAGTCTAATTAGTTGGCAATATTTAAGTTGTACCTGAGAACATTACTATCAGAATCACTTTTATTGAAGTTCATAAAAAAAATTAAGGGTTTACTGTACATCACTTCATTATTTTTGGTTACTGTATTTGGTTACACAAACCAGTATAGTCAGTTCTGAAATTCAAGATGTTAGCCTAGCTGTTGCACAGAAAGAATGGTAGTATATATATATTGTTTGTTTAACTGTTAATTATATAATTACTAGTCATTCCTATTATTAAGGTTTGTAAAATTGACTGAATAATCATAATAAACAAACTTTTGTGTTGATCACAGGCAGGGAGACACACAGGGTACATTATGTGTACCGTCTTGCACTATTGTGTGTCAGACATTAAAAAAAATCATCTTAACCTGGGTTTCTATAATTGTCTTTTAAGTGTTGATCCGTCTCACAAATTTTGGACAAATTGAACAACAAGATATTTGACCACCACGAGCTGTAGTCTGTATCACTTTTTCCCCAAGTGCTAAATTTCATCCTGGGAAAATCCCTCGACTCTAAGAGGTCGATAATCTTGAGAAGTAAAGTGATCCTCCCAGGCTGACATTCATTAAACTATTGCACATAAATTTGTGATTCCGTTGGTCCAGTCAAACACCCGGGTACTGTACTGTAGTCACTCACTTCTGGCTTACAGTGTCTCTCATGTTTCCTTGTACACTCTTTATTTCCCCTTATCTATTCGTAAGAAATTTTGAAACTTCTGCACATCATTATTCGGAAAGTAATAAGGAACAAGGTACTGTACTTGGTAAGAGTAGTAGCCTACTTATAGAATTTTTATATATGTGTTTTAAAGATCAATTTTGTGTACAGCTTCTCATAGCAGTGTTTACTCTGGCAGGTTATACAGTGTTGTTAGTTTGGCAAAACAAACCAATTTGCAAAAAGCCAAGAGGTAATCGGGTAAGGGTAGGAACTCTGCAGGGTATACTCATAAAACTTCTCAAAAGTAAAGTTGCTCAAAAATTTAATGCTTTCTGTAAAGTTTCACAAAATTAACATTTTCAAATGCACATTCCATGAAGATGTTCCTGCAATGTCTGCCAATCAAAATATTCCTGTACATTTGATACATACAAAATGAATATATTTTGATTTAGGTTTAAAAATTCTTTCTTTGATTTGTAAATAATCTTCTGTCCATTTCTTTCCTTTGATGGTGCATTATGTTAATGCAAATAAATTTAGTGTTGACACGATTTAACATACTAGTGTGATTTGCCTACAGTGATGATGAGAGGAGTCACATGAACACTGAAGGTTTATGCACCCTTCACAATATTTCTTGATTGAAAGATAAAAAAAAATTGTATTCACATTGATTATTGATTCATTAATTTTGTTTAAATTTTTTTGGAATGACTCCATCAGTGTTGCCATTTGTGATTGTTTATTATTTTTAGAAAATCCTTTAATACATTACCAAAAGCACATCAGGCCAGTGTTTTCCAGTAAGTCAGGTGGGATGTTGCAAGTGAGTAGGTAGTGGGGTTGTGGGTGATTAACCTGAGCAGTCACAGCCAGACACTTCCTGCTGCCTTCCCTTGTGCCTCTGATGTTGTGTTCTTCCTGTAGATGGACAAACACATATTACTCCTTGTGCTGGTGAATGTTCTGTTTACATTTATTGTCTTATTTAATCATAGGGTGAAAACAGCAAAGTGAAGTGCTTGATGTCATAAATCTACATCATTAAACTATTTTATGTATGTATATACACACACACACATATATATATATATATATATATATATCTTGAAAAAATCACACGGGAAAATGGAAACAACGGAGTACCTAGGTACTCCATTGTTTCCATTTTCCCGTGTGATTTTATCAAGATTTATCTTATCCACGTTTTCATTGTGGATTTACATGATATATATATATATATATATATATATATATATATATATATATATATATATATATATATATATATATATATATATATATATATATATATATATATATATATATATATATATATATATATAGTATGGTCTGCATTTACGTGGATTTTGTTTACGCGTTTGGTCATTTACACGGCACCTTGCCAGAATGAAAATTTTAAGTTACGTGGTTCATTCCATCATTTACGCGGGAAGCTGCACGGACAGGGTGCGGCATTAGGTCACTCTTACGTTATCGCTGATGTCATATGACGTATCGGACTGTGATTGGGTCACACATCCTTACCACCCACGCATTCCCTCCGCCGCTAGCTGTGATTGGTCTAATGTAACATGACGTGCCCTGCCACCAGAGGGAAGAAGTCACTGACCTAGCCGGGCCAGTCTCATTGTTCTCAGTCTCTGCGTATACAGTTCTCTCTTGTGCCCACTATTCCCCTCACAATGGCTTCCGCTGGACACCCACCACCCCAGAAATACCTTGAATTACCTGGACCAAGAGGAAATCATCGAGTTGGGGGAGAAAATTAAGCTCATCCTTGACAAAGACACAGTCAAGCATCAGTATGAAGTGTCTAATGACCTTCTGTCGAAAATTATGGAGCCGTATGTCCAGGTGTATCACGACAACATCAATACTAGTCTCGCCCGCAACCCACCTCAACCACAGCCAGCCCAAGTCAGTGACAGTGAGGATATGGACTTTGAGGGGTTTGTCAGGGAGGCCCTGCAAACCTCTGTGAGTAGTGATAGTGATTCACCGGAGGGCCACTAATCTGCCCTCTGCCTCGGAACCAGTCGCTATCCACATGTGCCGACCCATCTCTTCTACTAACGTAAGTGTTAACACCTGTAGATTTGTAGTTTTTTATTTAGATATTATGTGTGTGTCAATACCATCATAAAATTATGATGTTATTTTTACTACAAGGTACGTATTGTGTCGGAAAAAGTGGAGTTTGGGAGTCGGCCCAGTCTCTATTTCAATTAATCCCATATGTTCTGTTATTTCGTTTACGCGGACCTCCACGGGTTCAATTTACCGCGTAAATCCAGACTATACTGTGTATATATATATATATATATATATATATATATACAGTAGTACCCCGATTTACGCGGTCAATTGAACCCACGGGGTACCGCGTAAAGTGAACAACAGAACATATGGGATTAATTCCAATAGACTGGCCCGACCCCCAAACTCCACTTTTTCAGACACAATATCTACGTTGTTGTAAAAAAAAATCTTAATTTTATGATGGCATGCATGCACACAATTAATAATTAAGAGAAATATAAATAATATTAGGTTTTTTAACACTTACATTAGTAGAAAAGATGGCTAGGCACACGGGGATGGGGGGTTGGTTCCGTGGCAGAGGGCAGATTATTGGCCCTCACCTGTATTACTTGTATCACTATCCACCACATAGGCTTGCAGGGCCTCTTTGTCAAACCCCTCAAAGTCCATATCCTCACTATCACTATCACTGACTTGGGCCGGCTGTGGTGGGTGGCGGGTGAAGAACTCGGTAATGTTTTGATGACTGGGCGACCTTGTGCACATCCTGCCCGCTCCGCTTCCCACGTAAAATGAAATTGTGGGTCTGGCGAGGTACCACGTAAATGTAGAATCGCGTAAACGAGAACCGCGTAAATCGGGGTATGTATGTATGTATGTATGTACTGTATATATATACTGTATATATATATACAGTATATATATATATATATATATATATATATATATATATATATATATTGTACAAGTCTTCACTAAATTTCAAGTCTGTAGAAGACTTAGGTACTGGTGTATGAGTCCTACTTTTATGATTAAATTAACATGTCAAAGTTTATTGTTTGCATGTAAATAAGAGGTTAGAAGACAAGATTGATATGCACCATGATTTGTATATAAAGGTTTTACTGAGTAAGGATGATGCTTAAAATACATAATGATACTATTTTAAAATAAATGTCAGAAAACATTGTTGATTTTACTGGCTTTAAAACCTGCATAGAAGGTCACCTTATTTGGGGGTGATGCAGCCCTTCCTCTTGTTCTGATGGATGAGGCTTTAGTCACCTCACCTTGTATTTAGTTACTGTATAAGAAGAAATATGTGTGATTGAGAGGCTGACTGACACTTTGAGGAATGAAACAAACAAAGTGGAGGGCAAAGGAGATGTAAGTTGGGGACAAGTGTTCGGAGCAGAAGGTGTGGTGGTGTTAATGACTGATGAAATAAGGAGTTGTAGCACTTACTGAGACAAGTAGGTGAAGGTACAGTTGAAGAGGGCAGACTAAGAAAGTACATTTGAGGTGTGGAAATACATTACAAGAAAATAAGAGGGAATGGTGGAATGAGAAGTTAAACTGTTTGTTAAGAAGAGAAGGGCACAGGAGTACTGGCTACAAGTAAGGAATGAAAAAAAAAGGAAGTTCAAAGAGAAGGTAAGTCAGGACCAAGACGAAGATTGCCACAAAGTTTTAAAAGAGAATGAGAAACTTCTGGAGGGAATAAAGGTTGGTGAGAAAACCAAGAGAATAAACAAAAGTAGCAACTAATAATGAAAGGAGATACTGAACTGTACTGTACACTGTAGAAAAGAGAAGGAATATAAGGGAGCTGGGGAGATTATTTCAACAATTGGGAACAGATGAGACAGGCACAATTATACTGTTCATTATGTGTATTTTATTTGGTGTCAGCAAAAAAACAAAAACAATACTAATGTGAAAATATTAGTTGTGGGAGATGGAATAGGAATAGGGGTACTGTATAATAATGAGAAGGATAATGGCAGAGAACACAACAGTTCCTTATACACGTACGGTGTAAAGAAAAAGGTGATAAGAATAAAGAGGAATAAGTAAAGTACAGAAATTCCTGATTATTTGTGTACTGTATCTAGTATTTACGACTTCACAATTCGTGGAGGCAATAACATACTAAATACTTTATAGTAAGTTTAAATATCTTACATACCGGTATGTTTGAAAAATGCCGGCAGGTACTGTGGGCCAAACATATGCTAGTGTTCGGTCTGGCCACAACCAAAACTTTACTTGGATTAATTTTTTTCTTTTCTAGCTTTCATCACCATTTTTATAGCTTTCATCACCATGGCCCCACCTAAGCATTCTTTAAGTGCCCCTCTGCCTAGGGACACTAGCAAAGAAGAATAGGACCACGTTTACCCTAGAGTAAATTAGACAGTCTTCAAAGACGAAAGCCAGGCCAATCTGCCGCATGTTAGATGGTAACACCCTACCAAGATCCTAAACCATCACCATTCTTCAAACCCTTCACACATGAGTACAGTCTATTTATTATTCTTTCTTAAATGCTTATTCATCATGTTTAATTTAGACATTCTCATTCTCATGTCCACTCACTCTGTCAGAGTAGTTTTTCCATGAACTTTCCTGTGCTTAGTACATAAAAGAAAGCATTTTGTAATTATGTGATATGTACAGTACAGTATATACATGTCTAACCCATAGTAGTGTTTACAGTGACTAATATATACACCAAGACGTGCATTTATTTTGTATATTTAGCTTAAAAGGTTACTCGGTATCACTGTGGTAGTAATTAAGCATAGGCTTATGTGATAATGTGATATTTGCTACAAAAAAGCTGCTGTTGAATAAGCTTATATTTGTTTATATTTTTATCAGTACATCAACACCTACCATTAAGATTGCATTAGCAATGACCAAATACCTTACTAAACTGATGTAAGGGCTAATATTTGGAACTTAACTGTTGCTAGTTTGGTGGACAATTTTGGTCTCATTTTGCTCAATATTTGATATTTAATGCAATGAAGATCGAATTTTTGTTTTTTTGTTGAAATGCATAAAAAAAATTCAACTTCCAAGTTGAGAAGCTTTTGCCAGCGAGGAAAGTTATCGACTGAAGATAGTATCGTCCCAGCCCCTCTAAACTCTTGATCATTCTCCGCAACAGCCCGTCTGTGAGTTCACTGCGTGACAACATGTGTCTCTGCTAGCCAATAATGTGTTTCAGCCAACCAAAGAAAGACATTAAGTATTGCAAATTTTTCAAATTTGAAAGAATTTGCCGTCCCCTTGGCCAGTCGAGTCTATTTCATGATCACAGGCAGGTCATGATATGTGACGGATGATGACTGTGCTGTGATTTTTTCAAAAGTACTTGGTTATACCCACTGAAAGAAACTGCAAGAAGTTCTTGAGTTTTTGCTAACTGAGGAAAGATGGGACAAGTTTCCGTTGTATCCACTCGCACCATGACCACCGCAC